CTTTCATTGTTGCCTGCATTTTGGGCATTTTCTTTCAGATAGATTCTTATTCTTTATATTTCTTGTCAGATGACCTTTAGAAAGGTCACCAGCAGTATCTGAGGGTTCTACTCAGATCTTTGCCAGCAGTGAATATTATCATTCATTTAAACCCTTACTGATTTTTAGGTAAAAAAAATAAATAAATAGAGGATCTCATTTTATTTTGCTTTTGGAGAACTTACTTCTTTCATATGCTCATTAGCTCTTTGCATTTTCTCTGCTTGGTATTATTCATATTCTACCGCATGTTTAGTTTATATTGTAAATCGAATTTAGATGGGTCATCCCAATCAGTGTAGTTTGGATTGCTATAACACACCTCATTCAAGTGAACTCAATTAAAAGTTGTAGCGATGTTGATGGTGGTGGGTTCTTAAGGATGCGGATGAATTCTAAGAAACCAGAGGAAGGGCTGGATCTTGGAGTGAGGGACTGAAAAGTGATAAAGAACTAAGATGCCTCCTCTGCTCACAACAGACATACTTCATTGTCTCTACCAGTTTCATTGCTTAACTATCCTGCAGGCGAATCAACGTGGCCACTGACCTCAGTTTGTAACTTACCAGCACTGACCTTTCGACTCAGACTACACGTCTGGCTATAATCTTGAAGTCTCTGTGTTGAGTTTCCTAGGTGAGAATCTGGTTGGTGTTCATCAGCCAGTTACCAGCCAGTCTAGTGTCTGGTCCAACTCTCGACCATCAGTTATGGGGAATGTCCCATGATACACAGGGGCTGTCCCTTTCAAGGACTGGCAATGAGGACTTTAACATATATTGAGGCCATGCCTTTCATATTTAATTGCATTTGAAATTAGAGCCCTCGCCGTTAATGCCTCTATAATTTCTACTGGATTGGGATTTTTATCTCAGAGACTTGTTTTTTTTTTAATATACTTAATGATATTGTTATCAAAGCATGAACACATTTGCCTTCAAATATTTATTTTCTTCTTATTTTCGGTAATTATCTGAACTACATAATACTCCCATTGTGGGGGAAAACAACAACGACTTTGTTTTAAAGTGTATCTTCCCAAAGCAGCATCACGTTTATGGTCTGTGAATGTTTCACAGGTGAAACATCAGCAGGAAAACGTTTCGATGCAAATGTCAGTGATGTCTGAGTCAGTGGAGATGCCAAACTCAGTCTTTGTGTTTCCTTCCAGATTTACCAACGATGCTGGTTAGTATTCAAGAAAGCTTCAAGCAAAGGCCCGAAAAGACTGGAGAAATTTTCCGATGAACGTGCTGCGTATTTTAGGTGCTATCATAAGGTAAGACTGGATCATTGTAGTTTTCGGGAATCCTGGGCCATATTCCATTCTCTAAATTTCAACTCCGGCATGTATTTACTTACAAGCAGGTAACTTGAGTTCATTGAGACTGAAAACTTGTCTAGATTATTTAGTAAAGGCACAAATATGGCTTTTTCCAAGGATAAAACATCCCTAAAGTTATACTTGCTTGTTATCTGTTTAAAGTAATTTACTCAAGTCGCTCTTCTGGCTCGCTGCCATTTGTTATTGCTTTGGTTGTTCAAATGTCTAGTGTGGAATTTAGTAGAGAAGTTGTATTATACGTTTTCTGTTTACAGAGTCGACCCTACTTCCAACGTTGAAGGCCCTCAAGGCAAAGATTGGGTCTTATTTGTGTCTAGCACAGTGCCTGATGCAGAGTAGACCTCATTCAGTGTTTACAGGCTGAAAGGAGAGGAAGGAGTTGGGAAGGGGATGATGGGAAGGGGATGACTGGAAGAGGAGGAGGAAGTTCTCGCCCATACTTTATTATCATCCATTAGTTTATTTATTCAAGTGGTTGTTCTTGCTGTTAGGTGCTGTCAAGTTGGTTCTGACTCATAGCAACCCTATATACAGCAGAAAACACTGCCCAGTCCTGCGTCATCCTTAAAATCATTGCTATGCTTGATCCTTAAAATCATTGCTATGCTTGATCCTTAAAATCATTGCTATGCTTGAGCCCATTATTGCAGCCACTGTATCAATCCATCTCATTGAGAGTCTTCCTCTTTTTCGCTGACCCTCTACTTTACCAAGCATGATGTCTTTCTCCGGGGACATTCAAGTTAGATGAGTAAATTTAAGTCAGAGTTGGTTTTCTTAGTGGTAGCGAGATTTCATCAGTAAAATAGTAATTGTGTTAAAATAAGTTTCAGGAGTAAAAAATTGAGGTAAATTCGAGATAAATTTAACATTTGGATTTACAAATTAGGTACTCTTTCCCACTACATGGCAAATACTTTTCATGGTCCTTGCTAATGGGCATCCTATGTATTTTCTGTTTTCATGAAAATATGTAAAAGCACAAGGTTAACATTCCTCTTCCCCTTCAAAGCCAAAGAAGTGTTGTGACTGAGTTGATTCCGACTCATAGCAATCTTATAGAATGGAGTGGGACTGCCCCATAGGGTTTCCAAGGCTGTTATCTTTATGGAAGGAGATTGCCATGTCTTTCTCCCGCAGAGCACTTAACCACTGCGCCACCAGGGCTAGTGCCTTTCTCTCCTAGGCTTTGGTAATTTCTATATTGGGAAAATTCTACTATTTTGTATGCATAGGAACTATGCTTATTTTTACAAAAGAACTTTTTTGTTGTTGATGTTGTTCATTTTGTGGATTCTTGACCCCTGTTTAGTGAGAATGCATTGGGGCCGGGTCTATTTACCTTTAAAATTTTATGTGAAACCAGTAGATCCATTAGCAAGACACTTAGGTGGGAGAAGTGAACAATGTCTTTTTTTTTGTGCAAACTCTCCAAAAGTGGTGACTTTACATTTTTTAGGGGCCTGTATTGACACATTGGTTTATACAATGATGAAAAAGCAATAGAGGAAGCTGTATTCTTTTCTTTCTCACTTTAGAGGGATAAAGAGTATGCTGTGCTTTGTAGGGAGAGCTCATGGCGACCTTATGTACAATAGAACGAAACACTGCCCGGTCCTGCACCATCTTCATGATCACTGGTATGTCTGAGTCCATTGTTGTGGCTGTTGTTGTCAGTCCATGTCTTTGAGGGTTTCCCTTGTCTTCGCTGGCCCGCTACTTGGCCAAACATGTGTCCTTTTCTGGTGACTGGTTTTTCCTGATGACTTGTCAAAGGGTAGCATCCTCCATATGCTTCCTTTCTCCACTGTCCCATAAAGTGGTTCCACCTTCCCAGGTCAGCCCTGCTCCCAGCCTTCCTTCTCTCCGCAGGAGAACCTG